ACATTTGGCTTTATTTTCTGAGGTTGATACGATTCAATGAAAAAAACGCATACCAGGAATTTTCAAACAAGTTTTAAATCTCTCTTCAAGTTGTGATTCGGGTTGTAAGATTTCTTCACTTTCAACATAATAATACTGAATACCTTTTAAATTCTGTGAACAGAAATCAAACATATCTTTTGCAGTTACAATTTGATTTTTACAAGTTGATTGTAAACTGGTTTTAGTAACTTCTCTTTTTGTTGTGCCGCCGATATCATCGCATGCATTTTCCCGTGGGCTGTTGCAAAAATTTGCCATTCCGCCTGTAGACCAAAATCTTGCTCATGATGACAGGTATTCAGGAATTTTTTTATTTTTATATTGGCTACTGGCACCATCAGTAAAATAAATTACTCTTTTAACATCTGGAGCAATAGCTTTTAAGTCTTCAATGAAATATTTCTGAAAACAGTGAACCACGGCAGTGTTATTTTGTTGATAGTTACTTATGATGCATAGAAGATATTTTTGTTTGTGGACTGGCTTTCCTTCGATTCGCACAGATACAGTCTTTTTTCCAGGGCAAATCCTGCTGTTTTTTTTTCTAAATGAAGGTTAATATTTCTATAATGTAGTATAAATTAGTATTTATTGTGAAATTTGGTGAAAATACATTAATTTTTATTTCATTAGACAGTTTATTTGAATTTTAATTCCTCTACCGCAAACGCTCAAATTAATGATTTTTTGCCATTTTCTCAGGTCTGTAACTCCTATATGTCTTAAGTCTACAACTTCAAATTTTTACCCCTTATTCTACTCATCAGGAACTAACATTCAGCCAAATTTTAAATTTTTACTTGCTTGCCATCAGAGATAATGGCTCAAACTATGAAATTTTTCAAAAAATTACATATTGAGATTTTTTTGAAAAAATTGACTTGAAGTCTCAAAGCTCAAACTTTTTTTATTTAAAGTATGTATGTATGTATTTTCCAGAAAAAAATTACAGACCATTACCAGCTTCCCTTATGTTGTTAAAAAAAAATGCCGAAAACGGAATTTTATCAGTTTACCTTTTCAAACTTGAGGTTCATTTAAGGCATTAAGGGTAGTTTGTAATTAAATAATGCTAAGGACCATTTTTTTAGAGCATACTTTTCCAAACAGTTTGGTTTTTCATTTATTGTTTTAGGACAAACCTAAGTGAAAATATTGGCTAAAGGGTGAAGCCATGTTTTCCGTGAAAATGACACGATGAAACAAAAATGGCCGCCATCGGCAAAATAAATTTTTTAAAAATGAAATGAATGCAATTTTGTACTGTCTATAGACTGAACTATAAAATGTAGAAAAATAAAAAATATTAAAAATAGTCAAGCATCCACCTTTGGACCACTTGGCATGGATTGACCCTAATCCTAGTCACAGTAACCCCATAATGAAGGGATAGTGTGACACCTTACTCTCTTAAATAAAACATAATGTAAAATTAATTTTAACTGTGCAATGGTTGTGACAACTGACCCGAAAGTCTTCATTAAAAATCTGAAACCATTCAATTAAAGACAAATATATTTTTTTTATTTTAAGATCAAATATGCATATTTTTACGTCACACTAACTCTAGGTGACCCTACTTTAAAAATATAGCTATACCTCAAATAAAGAAAGTTTTAGACTAATAATAATTTAGTCGTTCACATACTATATTGTATGTTTTTCATGAGGTTAAAACATCAAAGCGATATTGATTTTAAATAATTTATCGAAATCAATAAATGCAAATGAAATAAAATCATGATATACATAATTATTCTCATGTAAAAATCGTAGTATTATCTAATGTCTGTCAAAACATCAGTTTTATATTTACTGTACTCTTTCAATATTCAAGATCCTTCAAGATTAGACATTGACCTTCGCTGTATTTGCAGTGACACTAATTATTGTTTTGGTTTAGATATTGGACAACTATATTTAAAAACGTTACTGTATTAGATCATGCTATGCTGCTTACTAAAATATTACTGTTGGTTACTCAAGGATTATTCATGTTATGAAATATTTTTACAAAAAAATAGAGGATACTCTATAATAGTCTACTCTAAAATATTTTTTGTGTTGAATCATAATGTGCATCAGCATTAAAGTATTAATATATGGGAAGAATCACAAATATGTTTTATTAGTTATCACTTCTCAGGGTAACTTGATATAGATATCGGGGTATCTGCTGTAAGAAAATGAATTGGAATAGTCGATATTTCCATTCTTATCTCTTGTTAGTCAGTTTTATATAAGTTGAGATTGTAGCAGACATAGCGTAGATGATTGCAATAATCCAGAGAAATAAGATATCCCCGTGACTTTGACCCGGTCAGGTATCAGGACACACAGTTTTTTTGTGTCACCACATGTTTAATTTTTTCAAAATTTAAAAAATCTTAATTTCTTTCTTTAAAAATGTTGTTTTACCTTCCGCAAAAATTGGATACCTCGGCCATATTCTGAGAGGAAAAAAATACGCATTCTCCCAACTAATGTGACCATAAAGAACTGGACAGGCATAAATAACACTGGCGATCTTTTGCATGTCGCAAAAGACAGACGTCTGGTCTTAGATAATTCGCCAACACACTATAGATGCACGGCACTATAAGAAGAAGACCTTCCGCAACTAACAGGTTTTCTAAACATTAAAGCCAACATCGGTCTCAGAGACTGTTTTGTATAAAACTTAGAGGTCGCTGGTTAAATGATATTAGATAAATAATAATGAAGAAAACATGCAATATTTTGTTTGTAAATAAATTAGCGAAAAATAGCAACTATTAATTGTGAATAAATTATGATATTAACTAGCCTTACTCATTATTGTTGCCTGTACAAAGAATATAGATTTACCTTTTGAAATATTGATGTCGTAAGATTCTTAGCCAGTGGAATCTCGTTAGAACCACGTCGGGACGCCGAGGCTCGATAGCACGAAAACTGGTCAAACTGTGTGCGTTTCGTTCGCTGTCTTGGCATGAAGTGAGTGTGTCTTGAGATCGTCAGGTCATAAACTACCCTCTAACCGTTGGGTGGTCAACAGCTCGTGGGCTCTAATACCGTCATTGTGTTTTATTTCTTTACTTCGTTTGGAGTACCAGAAATCGAATTCAATACGAATATTCGCCATGATGAACGGCATTTGGAGTGCAATTTTAGATTCCCTTGCCGATTTATTCATCAAGCTGTTTGCTTCGCAAGTTTTAGGAAGCACGGTGGCTTATATTTGAATTCGATTTCGCCAGGTAGAAATCGTATGATTTCTCATTTTGTTTTTAGATGGCGTAGTTACGTCTGTACATAGTTATTTTTAATAACTATGGTCTACGACGGGAAAATATTTTGGTTCGATACGGAGTAGTTGCTATACCGCACTGCGGAGACCTAAAGAGGTCGAAATACGTATATGCGGCTTGTAGCTCCTCTGTATCGAATCAAAATCTATTACCCTCATTGTGTTTTATTTCTTTACTTCGTTTGGAGTACCAGAAATCGAATTCACTACGAATATTGGCCATGATGAACGGCATTTGGAGTGCAATTTTAGATTCCCTTGCCGATTTATTCATCAAGCTGTTTGCTTCGCAAGTTTTAGGAAGCACGGTGGCTTATATTTGAATTCGATTTCGCCAGGTAGAAATCGTATGATTTCTCTTTTTGTAAATAGTACATACTTTCCCAAACAGAGACCGACATAAAAAAATGTTTCCTCTATGTTACGTATTTAACGAAATGCTTATAGCATTAAAGGGCAGAGTAGTACAAGTCAGCAGACGCGTGGAATATACCACTGTGGCATTTAACAGATTTTAGTAGTGTGTTTGAAATCAGTTTATTTTGAGAGCGATAAAATCTGAAATAGAACCTTTTCCTAGTAGTGAGAGTGAATATGAATCGGACAGATTGGATAATCCGAAATCATCATTATCTTCAGGTACAAATAGTTATTGTTTACATTTAACGAAATACATAACCTCTAAATTATTTTTGATGAGAAACAAAATATTGTATTTGATGAGGCATCAGGTTCGCAAAGTCAGCATGAAAATGGTACTAAAGAAAACGCGTTGGAAAAAGCGCTGTAAAGAGCCCGAAAAGCATATCAAAGTAATTCGTAAGAGGAAGATGAATACAGGACATGAATATTACAGTAAATCTGGCAAAAAGGTGCAACAAAAAGCATTTTCCAATACAAATTGTAATTGCAGAAAAAAAAATGTTTTAACTGAATTGATGAGCAAGAGAGAAAAGCAGTATTTGAAAACTTTTGGAAAATGGGCGATTTTTCTTCACAAAATGCATTTGTTGCTGATTTAGTTAAAGAAAGTGCCATTAAACATTATGGCTTAATTTGACAAGAGGAGCGACCTGATGGGTCCAGTATACCGTTCAAGAAAGCACTTTTTAGACACGAACTGTCATGTAGGTTTGGGCACGGTGTAATAAGTGCTATTCTCTTGGTTTCCTGGCATCAGTCTTCCTGCCCCAAGTCGCATCACTATGTCAAGGTAGAACAAAACGATGGGGACCGAAGATAGAATAGGAGCAACATACCGATGACAACGATAAGAAAGATGGAGATAACGAACATAGTAAAAAATGTAAAAACTGAAAATTCCCGAAATCGTAAAAGAAAACGAAAAGAAAAGTGTTTTAAAATGAAAACTAATCGCCGCTGTCATGGGAGCATTCATCTTGTACCATGTAGACTATTATTTGATAACATGAATTACATTCAAAATCAATATCTCACTTATATGTATGTTCATTTTGTTATCGCGTTTACAATAAACCTTGCCTTGTAAAAAAATGCACTTGTTGTTTTAACATCTATATACAACGCACAATTTTAAAAAATTGAATATTAGAAATATTGATAGCAGTATGCTTTTTATTTCTTTTTTTTTTATACTAATAAACATAGTAAACGTTTTTTATTTAATATAATTTTGAATTTTTTTAAGGTGCACTGATGGTTTACGATATAACTAGGAGATCCACTTACAATCATCTAAGTAGTTGGCTGACTGACACAAGAAATTTAACCAATCCTAGTACAGTTATATTTCTAATAGGAAATAAGTGCGATTTAGAAGGGCAAAGAGACGTAACTTACGAAGAAGCTAGTAAATTTGCGGAAGAGAATGGCCTAATGTTCGTAGAAGCTAGTGCAAAAACGTAAGTATTTTTTTATATATTGCGATATTGCAAAAAATGAATTTATCATTATGAAAGAGACAATGTAAATAATATAAACTTTATTTGGTTTCTCAATACTTCCTTGGTCATCTGATTACCAGGTTTGCTTATTGCTTGTGCAATTATTGCTTATTGCTTGTGCATTGTGTTCATCTAATGAGCGGTTAATGATATTTGAGTTTTGGTTGCGAAAGCAGTAGTTTTAGGAGCAGTAAAGTATACATGAAATATATGCATCCTGCTTTACAACAAACGAGGCTCTGGCGTCCGAGTGATTGCTTGTATAAGCAATCCCCCACTTACTGGCCAACGGCCTTCGGCCGGACGAGCTGGTAAGTGCTAGAGCACTCTTTTGTCCTGGAATTGAGAAATTGATTCCGAAGGCGGAAGAACTATAAAACTATAAATTAGTCAACGGCATAAGGATGCAGAAAGCAAAGGAGAACTACTGCATTAAAGGCCTTTTGGCACTCCTAGTTTTAACTACTGTGGCTGTAAATAATTTAAGTCAAAACATTCATCAAACAAGGACAATCTCAAGACTGCAGGGTCTCTCAGGTCGTTAATATGCGAAATCCTTGCAAAATAGCCACATGGAACGTCAGAAGCATGTTTGAGTCAGGTAAAATAGCCACAAAAGAAATGAAAATAATGCAAATCAGCATCCTCGGAATAAGTGAAATGCGGTAGCCGGGATCAGGAGTATGTGACGTAGATGGATATCAAGTGTACCATGCCGGAAATACATATGCCAATCACTATAATCGAGTTGCAATCATAGTAGCAAAATGCTTATCTCAATCAGTATTAACTTATATCCCCATATCTGACAGAGTAATGCTAGTGAAATTTAGTGCAAAGCCGTTCATTACCAATGTAATTCAGCTATATGCCCCATCATCCAGTGATAAAGATAAATTAGAAACATTTTACAAAAATCTTACTGATGATCTAGATCTTGTCAAAGCAGCAGAAAATACCATAGTCCTCGGAGATTTTAACGCTAAAGTCGGCAAAGGACGCTGTTTGAACATTGTGGGGGATTATGGCTTGGGAAACAGAAACGAACGTGGAGATCGACTTGTCCAGTTCTGTCAAGAACAAGATTTCATTATATCGAAAACCTGTGCTGATTATAGAACCATGAGTTTGTTAAACCACTTATTGAAATTTTTTCTGAAGGTAATACATGGTCGTATCTACAATTAATGCGAGGAATACCTGGATGACACTCAGTTTGGTTTCCGTGAAGGGTTTGAAACGAGAGAGGCACTGTTTGGAAAGAACATACTTGCTCAAATATGTCGATATATATCTGTAGACATATACTGTTGTTTATTGACTTCCAAAAGGCATTTGGTCGTGTTAAGCACTCTATATTGATCGAAGCTCTAAAAGACACTGGCTTGGACGGCAGAGATGTTCGAATAATTGCAAATTTATATTGTCAAATAATGTCAAATTCTCAGTTTTTACAACTTGGCGGATATCTCGATTAACGTGATCTACATTTCGCAGCTCACGTCCAAAAGTTAAGTAGGCAGCGCAGCACCATACCGAGTTCATGTTGTATTACATCAGACACGAATTGCACACCATTATCTTTTTTCGGTACTAATACAACCGGCGCGGCCCACGCACTTTCGCATTCTTCGATAATGCCTGTATCCAAGAGTTTATCTAACTCGGCTTTCACTTCTTCCCTCTTGACAGGTGACATTCGATATGGTGGCAGTGCAATTGGTGCGCTATTCCCAGTATTAATGCGATGCTTTGCATAAGCTGTAGGCTCTCCACCCCATTGTGAAGGTATTCCTCCTACTTTTCAAAAATTCATTGAGTCGACAATTAATTTCAATAAATTATGTACCTTTTCTTCAAACAGCAACGGCTGTCGTGTGCTTTCATTCGCAAAATACCATTCCTTATTGTGTAAATCTAGAGCTATTTGTGCATTTATCAAAAAGTCAATACCTAGAAGAATTTTATTAGGTGCATCTGGAAAAACTATAAACTTTGTACGCATAATTTTGTCTCTTATACGTACATCAACTAAAGTTGTCAACACTCGTTTCTACCAACACCATCAGCGAATTTGTTTGTTTGTACACACTGGACAGTTTGCTCGAATGAAACCCGATTTACCACAACCGTAACAAGTTAACGGGTTGTTGTTTAGACTATTGTGTGGCCAATTTGAATCAGTTGCTTCGACGGTATCACTAACCGTACGCAAAGAACTTGCAATTACTTTCGGTGTCGTCGGTTGATCTTTGGATTGTTGATCACGTAATTTTCGACATTCATCCTTAGAATGACCGGAAACACGACAATAATTACAACGCGGTCGTTTTTCGTACGATGGTCTATTGTGAGGGTTTTTTTTATCCCCCTTCGAACTAGGTTTAACGAACAAATCTTCAATTTTTCTTGTTTCTGTAAGTAGCTCTATTAAATTGGAAACTGCTTCTCGAGAAATATTTTCTCTAATCGCTTTATGTAGTAAACCATACATCATATATAGCTGGATTGTTTCTGTAAGGCTGCCTGGTTTTGCGCGAGAACGGCCCTACATCGGCAAACGATGCCAGTTTCTTCGGACCGAACGTAATTCTTAATAGGCGAACAAGTTCCTCATATGTCAAAATAGTATCTTTAACGCCTTGATCCCATTTTGCCGCGAAATCATCGAAAAGCATCGGGATTTCCCGAAATGTATTTTCATCAGAGGCTAATGCACAGTCTTTATATACCTCTATGGCGCTAATCAAAACGTTTTACACGTCAGTGTCCTTGTTTCCATCAAACCGCGAATGGCATTTTGACAGGTTGTCACTTGGAACGACGCCGATGGCGAAACGGGAGCAATTGTACCGTCAATCTCGACAAAAGCTCGTGGAATTGTTCATTGGTCAACACGACGTTTTGACTCATGTCTCTAATGTTAATATCCACGGATCTCTTGAAAAAATCAGAGTTCAACTGAGAATGATTCGTAGCAATCAAATGTTCAAGGTTTCTGTTCTGCGTGGAACGTAAATTGTACAAATGATTTTGCATGCAAAAATTGGAAAGTATTTGCCAGTAAATAGCGATGTCCAATCTTGCATAAAATAACTACAGCATCTTTCGGCACAACACACTGTATGGTCCTTGGAACCTTGGAACATCGTTAGCACTAAATCACTTCAGTTTGACAAAACACGTACAGTATTGTGCGAATTAATTTTAACAGAGATCGAAATTCAGTTTTCATATGTTGGCACACCTGCTGTGCCTATTCTGTCAACTGTTTTGTCAAAAAAACAACATAACCTCAAAACCTTATTAGTATATTGTTTAAAACACGTGCTTTGTGTTTTGTATCATTATTATATTATGTTGTATCTCAGGTTATGTGCAAGTTGATGTTATTTTTATTGATTTAACTATGCAATCAGGTTTAACTTTTTAATATGGATATCACTCCTAGGAAAAGAGAAAGGATCATAACACTTAGTGAGCATACACCAATGACTCAGAGGGACATTGCAAAGGAGTGTTGTGTAAGTTTGGGTGCAGTAAACAAAATAATTAAACAAAAAAAGGAAACAGGGTCAGTTGAAGTGCAGCGGAAAGGAAAATGTGGAAGAAAACGGAAGACTACTCCTGGAGATGAAGCCTTTCTTTTGCGCGATAGTAAACTTCATCCCAGAAAAACAAGTTATGACCTCCAGCAAGATTTAGAAAAGGCTGGAATAAAAATTCACGACTCAACGGTACGCAGACGTCTCTTAGAAGGAGGGAGAAGATCCGTGAGACCGCAGAGGAAACAACTTTTGACAGCGCCTATGATGAAAAAAAAGACTAAATTGGGCAAAAAATACGCTCATTGGAGTGCAGAAGATTGGAGAAGTGTTATTTTCTGATGAGAGCGCAGCCCTAGTGCAGGGCCAGCGATCAAAATTCGTACGAAAGGCAGTCACTTTCAGCTATCCATATTAACCAAACAGTTAAACATCCCACCAAAAAACTGTTCTGGGGCTGATTTTCATACTCAGGAACTGGCACTCTTATTCCTATTGAAGGTATGATGAACAGTGAAAAGTACAAAGCCATACTAGGGCAAGTGCAGCTATAGAACTTGACAAAGTACAGGCCGAAGGAACTGCAATTTTTTAACAAGATTCAGCTCCGTGCCATGTATCGAAGGTTATGATGAAACACTTCAAGGATAATAATATTACCCTTCTTCATTGGCCTGGGAATTCACCTGACCTTAATCCTATTGAAAATTTGTGGGCAATATGTAAGGCTAAACTGCAAAAATTTGACTGTACGACAAAAACAAAAATGATGGAAGCAGTGATTAAGGTGTGGTTTAGCGATGAAGCAATCACAACCAATTGCAAAAAACCTGTGGATTCCATGCCTAGAAGACTCCAGGAAGTCATAAAAGTAAAAGGGGGACATACTAAATACTAATTAATGAAAAAATCTCATGTAAGTGTACCTAAATTTACTTTTGGCCCAACTAAATTATATTTACAAATTAATTCTGTTTGTTCACATTAATTCGCACAATACTGTATGGTTAAGTAAGTTTTAACACGTATGGTCTAGTAAGTAATACTGAAGCAGTCAATTGTGTAATAAGTTAACTAGTATATATATATATATATATATATATATATATATATATATATATATATAATATATATATATATATAATATATTCGGTTTTATAACGTCTTACGACGTTGTCCGACTCTCAAACGCCACTGTATTCTGTCTTGAGTTAGGTCTTCGTCCAGATTTCGAACGCTAATCGCTTTCCTAACTCCCAGGTTCCAGCTCTGTGGTGGTCTTCCTCGTTTCCTCTTCTCTGGGGGTTGCCACATCATCGTTTTTTAGGTAATCTTTCGTCCCCCATTCGGCTCACATGCCCATACCACATGAGCTGTTTTCTCTCAATATCCTCAACTATAGTGCCCTCTATAGAGCTAGTTAACTAGAAAAAGTGTCCTGAAAAAGAGTATCTAACGAAGCACTGTGTTATTTCTTAACAAACAATAAGTCCACTAATTATACCGACGCGAATGTCCAATACGAACTGTAATAAACTCACTTTTCACTTTAATACCGGGCTAAAACACACTTTTCTACGGCGATTTTTCGTTAGAACTTCGATGAAAACTAGAAAATTACGATGATTTGATAGAGCTGTATAATCGTATTTCTTTTACAAAAAAGTTAAACGTTAACTGACTAATGCGAATGCTGTCTTTTTGTGTTCTATTCACATCTGTAAAACTAAAATATATACAAAACGGCAGACCACACACACACTCAGGTCACTGGTCCATCCAACAGGACTCTCGAGGTGCTATATGCTGGGGTTTGAAAATCATATTACGACTCAGAGACGCAGCGTCAGGGGTTGGTTTGTTACAATGTACTTTTTAAAAGCCTTCTGTCTTTATATTTGAAGCATACAACACATACATTATAAAAACATGGCAACACTGCCAAACCAAAATATTTTGTTTCATGGTTAACATTTTCGGCTATAATCAGCTTGTACTTTCGTTAAAGTTAACCAATTTGTTTAACAAACTCCACTACATTGGGTTCAAAAATAAATGATTTTAAAATAGGCGTAATTTATAATATTTTTCTCTCTTTTCCTTCACGTATAGTATATTATATTTTTGATCACCGTTGTATTTCAATTTCAGAGGTGATAATGTTGAAGAAGCTTTCCTCGAAACAGCAAAGAAGATATACCAGAGCATCCAAGATGGGCGGTTGGATCTGAACGCAGCCGAATCGGGTGTTCAACATAAACCTTCACAACCTGGTCGCAATAATTTGTCCAGCGACCCACAGGCGAATAAAGACAACTGCGCCTGCTAGTTTTATTTGAAACTTTTAAAATATACATAGAATCTCTTCGATTCTGACTTTTTAATTTACTAATGCAAATTTCGCAAAGTTCTACGTTTCATAATATCATTAATATCATCATAATTTTAAATCCATACTGAAATATATACGTAATTAACATATACAGATCTAAAAAGACATATATGTACCTACATTTTTTATATGTTACTAAATTTGAACGAGATTCACAAAAACAAACAATGAAAATAAAACAAATCTCGTTGTATATCATATTTTCCTTGAATTTACAGTGTCAGGCAGGATAAGTATTTTTAGAAGTGTCATCTGTCATCATTTATCACTCAATTGGTCTGGAGATTCTTTACTTTTGAGTTAAAATCTTAAAATCATTGCCTTAAATAGGTTTATAATATGTCTATCTTGTGAACTATTAGCATGAAGATGGATTAAATGGATGGATAGATTAAATATAAACGAGCTTTTAAATTTTTTGCAAAAAGTTTTCTCCGTGATGTTAGGGCGCGAATCCCTGCAACTGAAAAAATAGTGTTTCGATGCATTTGAAAAAACACTGACCGTGATTTCTTGAACTTATGCATATTCTGTCTTTTCTAACCTTTCTGTCCAGCTTTACTGTGTTTGATTAAGTTTCAGTAATATTTTGTTGGACTGATTGATCACTCTGTGGACTCATATTATTTCTATAAATGATATCAATAAAATAATGCAGTTCCTAACATAACAACAATATATAAAATCTGTGTTTCAGTCGTTCCTAGATAAAACCAGTTAAACTGCATATTTTGTAAATGACCTTGCCAATTGTTTTTAAAATTATTTATTTTAATAGAGAATTACAAAAAATACTTCCGTTTTTATTATTTTTAAATTGTCAAACGTAAATTTTTAACGACTTGTTTGGATAATAATTTTTACTGCGTACTGAGTGTCTCAAAATTGCCGCGTTTTTTTGTAAGATTGATTCTTGTTTAATTATCAATGCATAAACGTTCTATAACATATTTTTATGTACTTAAAAGAAAGATAATCCAACGGATTGAGATTTGGCGATCGATGTGGTTCATTCAGAAAATTTCTCGGTTTTTGCATGTCGCAGCTTCAGCTTGATATTGTCACACTCTTTCAGTTACAGTCACAATTCAAGTGTACAATATGTTTTCTTTGAATACACAAAACATAAAGAAATAACACACTGTCAGTATGGCACAACCAATAATGAATTTAGAATGCCACTGTAGCAACCGACGATAAAAATTATTCTTTACATTATAAATAACTCAATAAAAGGAATATTAATTTGATCAATCCACAAATGTAAGAGCGTCAATTTTGAGCCAATCTTTTCGAAAGTATCATAATAAAATTTTCTCTGGTTAAGTTGAGTACATCTATACTACGTTCACTCATAAAATAAGCTCGAGATCTCAGCGATCATTTTCGTTTTTCTGATTTTGATATGTAAACCATACGTCATACTAACCATAGATACTTTGGGCTCTCAAATTGGGGGCTATTATAGCTGTATTTCAGCTGACTCATCTACAAATGCTTCACGGAAAATATATTCAGAGTATAAATTGAATAGCATTGGCGAGAGAATACATCCCTGTCGTACACCATTCTGATTACTTAGTTTCACTGACAGGAGCCCTTGAATTTTTATTCTTGCGGTTTGACCCCAGTATACTCTTGATATTATTTTATCATGATAATCAATGTTTAGTTTTTGTCATATATCCAGTAGTTTCTCGTGCTTAACATTGTCAAAGGTCTTAGTATCTTTCTGTCTTAGTAGTCAATGAAGCAGACATACATATCTTGTTCGACATCTGCCCATCTCTGTGTCAGTACATTAAAGGCAAACAGGGTTGTGTAAGTGATGTTTCACTTTCACATTTTTTGTAAATGCCGACCGAAAACCTTTAATGCAGTAGGCTTATAAGCTGGCAATTTCAACACAGTTGGTAGGATGGGACATCTTTGGAATGGCGAGGGAGGTGTAGATAAGTCATTTTTTTGAAATTGTTCTAGTTCTATATATACAATTGAACAAGTCCACCAAAGCAGTATTCTTAAGAGTTTACAATAAATCTTATCTGGTCGTACTGCTGTACCACTTTTTGCTATTTTTATTGCTTGTTTTACCTCATCAGGTTTTTTCTTATCTAGATTTAACTTTATCTATATCTAACTATTATCTATTTTCTTTCATATATTAGATAATTCCAGCTGTATGTTTGAGTTCCATCATTTTTCAATCTCATTTTGCCATCTGTCTGATGACTTTTATTGTTGAAGTGAAGATATTCTTAATTAGCAATTTAGAAAAGTCGACTTAAGGAACGGACTCGTTTAGACGTGAATAGTTTATTAAACACTACCCACACTAAATATTTTTAAAATACAGTGATATAAAGTCAAAAAGGGATCTACGTCTTGAAATTAGAAATTCACGAGTAATTCGAATCGGTCGATGGATGAGTACTACGGTGAGGGATAGGTTACCATCAATGTCCTAAGTAGATCGATTGTGGAATTCCTGTAGATCGGTACATTATTTGGCCCTCCCAGCACCCACCTTTGTTCACTTTTCGTCTATTTTAGTTTTAACCCAATATATGTTAATTTGCTTATGAATAAAGACTAAAAATGTGTTTTGTTTAGAAGTTTGTTTGTTTTCTTATCTGGATACGTAAGGAATCGGCAGTAAGAAAAAATTAAACTAATTTCGGCCACAAGAGTTTGAGAAGCTGGTCTGGCCCGTTAAAATAAGTTTCCCTTCCTGATTCTGCTTCTTTTTGTGGCTGGCCCGCTACTTTCTTGTGATTAGTATCGATTATTTAGCTCGTGTATAAGGTAAGTACTTGTTTGACTTCATTGTCACTCAGAATCCCTATTATACTACCATATTGTTGCTGACATATTACTGGTTATTTCTTCCATCGAATCTTGTATAACACCTTTCCATTTTGCCTGTTTTATATTTTTACTTGAGTTTTCTTAAATCTAGCGTAACATCTTCCAATCTTCCACCAAATTCATTTTAATTTTCCTTTTGGTCTTTCTTCAGCTATGTGTTTCCCAAAAATGATTTTGGCTCCAGACCATGCTCCATTGATTGTACCTGTGCCGCCAAAGTTATTCTTTTACTTTTAAAATTGAGTTTAGTCTTAATAATTGCTTTGATTTTAAGATTTCGTCTTTAGTTTTTGGCCAATTATATTGTCAGCGCTACGTATAACTTGAAGCGGGCTAGGTGCAACGGGAGAACAAACGCGACCGACGGGGCTAGCAACGCTTGATGTCGGGATAACGCGGACACGCCGACGGCAATGTCGTTCGTATAATTTATTCCATGGTGCGGTTGGACCGACGCTGACGCCCTAATGCTAAAAGGGCCCTTAACCTTTTTATTTTGGCTCCATACATACGTACTTATTTTCATCTTCAATATACACTCTCCCCTATCCCTACAGCACTCGATGCGAATTCCATAGAGCTGGAAGTCTTCTTCCGTCAGTTTCTTTGGGACGCGTACCGTTTTCTCTTTCACAGCTGTAACTGACTCAAATTTAATTCATTTAAACGCATTAGGAAACAGATATAAATCGCTCTCAATCTTAAATACGTAACCCACCATCAAATAGAAACAGAATACTGATTTTTTACAATATTGCCATTCATTTTTACGTTACAGGCAATCCGGACGTGAATAATTTTCAACGTCATACACGTCAATAAAAAAAATATAAGTTTAAGTAGCAATTTATCCAAGGTACACGTGAAATTTAACAATAATTCGTTCCTTGAGTGTCATATTTACCATTTTTCGAGCGAAACAGAAAAACAACCTTCATGATGGTGAGCGTACAGATACACGAATTCATTTGCAGAAGCGAGAGTTTTTGATTCGAAAGAGAAGGCTTGACGTTAAATATTTATCGGTCACTGGCGTTTGGCGCACAGCTGTGCTTGTTATTTAATAGTAACACACACCTCTTAGGCCAAGCAAAATTTCACAAACATTGTATATGGGTCTGTTTGAACAATGAAAGAATCTAATTCATAGACTCATATATAAATGTCTTATTTTTACTAACCAAACCGATGGTTTGTTTGTGAAATATTACGATATCGTAAATCATTTAAATATTTTATTTTTGGATAATTAATTTACAAGATTTTTTACTGTTATTGTTAGACTCAAGCGTTTTATTTAAATTCACTAGAATGTAACGAAATCATTCGATAGCACGGTATTTTTATCAATTTATGATAATTTATCGTAATAACTAATTAAAAATGTTTAATGGCCTGATAAAGGCTATTTATGTTTACGGTATTATTGTCAATTTTAAATGCGATGCAGAAAAAAGTAGATTCTCTCCATTCATTTTAATGTGTCATTCATTCCAGTGTAATTTCTTGAGGCCATCGTTCAATATCCGTATTTGTCTAATCAATTTGACTATTTTGTATGGCACTTATTAAGTTCCTACATAGCCGAATGTTTCGTCAAATCAATGACCGTTATAGATATTGGTATGTGTTATTTGGTAAATAATATTAATATTTTCATCAATAACGATGTTACCTCTTCTTCCAGGAAGATAGAGATGACGACTTAACACAAAATGCGTTCCATACAGAAATTATGCCCATTAAGTTGTTAATAATACAAGTAATTGTGGTGAAGCTTCGCTACGCAACTTTCTGGTAGCATTGGCTAAGTAAATATGTACTAGCAACTAACACTAACCAAGATTTAGCACATGCGCTACTGAATAAATGCCGTTCTTTCGATCGGTTCGCAGATCGGATGAGTCCGGTAACTCGAGGCGAAAATACATAAATTTACGCAGTTGGCGTCTACTGCACGTTTCATTTACTCACTTCTTCCTGTGCCCTGCTGGATTATCGTGCGTTGACTATCAAATTGGCTATACTAATTTTGTTGGCGGCATCTCGAAAAATGGATACAGAGGATTTGTTAAACCATTCCCTCGGGTTTCTAAGCCATGGCGTTCTTCCTCGACCTAGTCTTCTTCTTCCATATATATTGCCTTGTTTAACTGTTCTTACTACATAACTTTTCCCATCTTCTCGAAAACAATCTCGTTACGCTATCCAGCAACTTATTCGCAGAACTGTCCGATACACTCAAATTTCAAAGGCTTAAAGTTTTTTTTTAAAGTGTATCTATTAAAGTCCAACCTTCGACACCATATAAAAGAATAGAGAACATATAACATCTTACTAATTAAATTTTCGGTCTCAAAGTAATATATTGTTTCCACATAAGATTTTCTTCATCTTAAAAAATGCAGCTCTGGTTGTTTCTATACGTAGCCTAATTTCTTTCCTCATTTCCCAATTCTCATTTAGATTACAACAGTTTGGCTCTCTCCAGTTGTTCTACACTTTTGATTGTATTTGCGTTTTACTGACAACCATCTACTTTGTCTTTGTGGTGTTTAGTTCCCTATTCAATTTAGTCACTAGCTAACAAAAAATATATAAAGGATCAAATTAATAACCCTCATGAATTTGGTTGGTTACTATGGTAATTTTAGATCTATTACAAACTGTGTAATATTTTCAATGAATTTTTTAGGCCTGTTCTGTTATCGTGTAATGACCTTTATTTGACCCTATCAAAAGCCTTGTTAAAATTAAAAAATACATGATAATAGAGATAATAATTAGTTTTTTCTATCAACATCTGAGTGTCTTCTCTTATAGGGCTGTGCTCGTATAGTGCGTTGACTAATTATCTTAAGGCCAAATGTCTATCCTTCATGATATGATAGAGCTTGTTGGTGTTATTTATGGTTGTC